GTGGCGGCTAACAGCAGGAAGGAGTGGCGGCTAGAAGAATCAACTATAGGATATGGTAGCTTGCGGCGAGGCGGCAAGGCGGCAAGCAAGGATGTGAATATTTACAGGCAGACCAACAGTTGGCGGACAGGTGGCTAGTAGACTACTAATGGGAAACAACAGGAGTAGCTGGCGATATCCTAGAATTGTTTGGAAGGCACTAATTGTATATGACGGTAAAGGGAATTTTTGGAATTGATATTGTGTTTAATGCAATGTCTAGAAGTACTTCCTAACTTTATGGAGAGATAGTTGCTGCTTTTTAGATTTTTATTTATTTATTAGGAGTAGCTGGCGATATCCTAGAATTGTTTGGAAGGCACTAATTGTATATGACGGTAAAGGGAATTTTTGGAATTGATATTGTGTTTAATGCAATGTCTAGAAGTACTTCCTAACTTTATGGAGAGATAGTTGCTGCTTTTTAGTTATTTATTTATTTATTTCTTGATTTTCATACGTCACTTCAAGCTGTAAATATATTTTGATTTGTCCAAACTTGAAAATAAGATTTTCAAAATTTAACACCTCCCTAGCACCCTTCCAGGACCTAGCAGCAGACAGTTGGGTTGGGCTTACTAGCTAAAATCAGTCATCTAGGGTACCTCAGAAAATACCCCGTGGCTAAGCAAGGTGCATAGGCTTGGTATGGAGCCTATTTAGGTTCTTTCATCACTTTCATGATAATTTTCTAGGGCTAATTGGGATAAGTGAAAGTTTTCTCTTAGAGCGATTGCCAAATTTCAACAAGGACATTTATAGCTACTTGTTTTTAGTGTAACTTGGATGATTCTTTGTTCATTTTACGCATTCCATTATTCTCACTGTGCTTAGACTTATCGCGATGAACGTAATTCTTTGTCGCACCGCTGTTGACCCTCTCTGGTCAAACGAAAATATAGCAGAGGAGAACAGATCAATTAGACTCAATTTATAACAATACTTATCCTGACTTACACAAATTAGGACTAATTGAGTTAAGAATTAGTCTCTTGAAGTCATCTCACGAAATTTATGATTCTTAAATTCATGTAGTATTCAGTCATATCAAACATTCACAAATTAACGCACAAAAATAACCTCAAATAATATATAGACTTGTTAAAACACTTAATGTAAAATCATACATACCCAAAAGTCTATAATCATGCAAATGTTTTATATTCAAATCAGATCCAGGTTTATATCTTTTCTCCAGAACAACCAAATTTTATTAGAGGAGTTTCTCAAAAAAAATAAACTGTTTAAACTTTCTAAGAATCTTATCCACATGAACATTTACTGAAGGTTTCAAAACAACAAAAATATCAAGTTCATGAACCCTGCACAAAAATTTTAATCTATTAAGGGAGAGTGGGTAAGCCAATCCTCTAATATTCCAAATAAGGATATTAAACATGATGTAGCAAACGCCCTCTCCTAGAGTCTCTAGTGAGAGTGTGCTGATGTGCCCCTTCAGAATAATACCCTTCAGAATAATAATGTTTTCCTCCCAGTGAGGTCGTTAGCGAAAGATCGAAATGCAATCAAGCCACCGAAAGCAAAAACGCCTCCAAAGCGTCAGGGGAACCAAACTCTATAAGAGTTGACGATCTCCGACAACGGTTTATATATATA